GGCTCGAAATGGCCGTTTTGGGAATCAAATTTCCTCTGTGTATATATTTGCCCTCTACAATACCTCTTGAAATTTGATTCCCGTAAAGCTTCTTTCTGGCTCGAAATGGCCGTTTTGGGAATCAAATCTCCTATGTGTATACATTCTCCTTCTACCATACCTCTTGAAATTTGATTCCCGTAAAGCTTCTTTCTGGCTCAAAAGGGCCGTTTTGGGAATCAATTTCCTCTGTGTATACATTCTCCTTCTACCATACCTCTTGAAATTGATTCCCGTAAAGTTGCTTTCTGGCTCGAAATGGCCGTTTTGGGGATCAAATTTCCTATGTGTATACAATCTCCTTCTACCATACCTCTTGAAATTTGATCCGTAAAGCTGCTTTCTGGCTCGAAATGGCCGTTTTGGGAATCAAATTTCCTATGTGCCTTCTACAATACCTCTTGAAATTTGATTCCCGTAAAGCTGCTTTCTGGCTCGAAATGGCCGTTTTGGGAATCAAATTTCCTATGTGTATACACTCTCCTTCTACCATACCTCTTGAAATTTGATTCCCGTAAAGCTGCTTTCTGGCTCGAAATGGCCGTTTTGGGAATCATATTTCCTATGTGTATACATTCTCCTTCTACCATACCTCTTGAAATTTGATTCCCGTAAAGCTTCTTTCTGGCTCAAAAGGGCCGTTTTGGGAATCAAATTTCCTATGTGTATACATTCTCCTTCTACCATACCTCTTGAAATTTGATTCCCGTAAAGTTGCTTTTTGGCTCGAAGTGGCCGTTTTGGGAATCAAATTTCCTATGTGTATACACTCTCCTTCTACCATACCTCTTGAAATTTGATTCCCGTAAAGCTTCTTTCTGGCTCGAAATGGCCGTTTTGGGAATCAAATTTCCTATGTGTATACACTCTGCTTCTACCATACCTCTTGAAATTTGATTCCCGTAAAGTTGCTTTTTGGCTCGAAATGGCCGTTTTGGGAATCAAATTTCCTCTGTGTATACACTCTCCTTCTACCATACCTTTTGAATTTGATTCCCGTAAAGCTGCTTTCTGGCTCGAAATAGCCGTTTTGGGAATCAAATTTCCTATGTGTATAAACTCTCCTTCTACCATACCTCTTGAAATTTGATTCCCGTAAAGCTGCTTCCTGGCTCGAAATGGCCGTTTTAGGAATCAAATTCCTATGTGTATACACTCTCCTTCTACCATACCTCTTGAAATTTGATTCCCGTAAAGCTGCTTTCTGGCTCGAAATGGCCGTTTTGGGAATCAAATCTCCTATGTGTATACATTCTCCTTCTACCATACCTCTTGAAATTTGATTCCCGTAAAGCTTCTTTCTGGCTCGAAATGGCCGTTTTGGGAATCAAATTTCCTATGTGTATACATTGCCGTAAAGCTTCTTTCTGGCTCAAAAGGGCCGTTTTGGGAATCAAATTCCTATGTGGATACATTCTCCTTCTACCATACCTCTTGAAATTTGATTCCCGTAAAGCTGCTTTCTGGCTCGAAATGGCCGTTTTGGGATGTTTTGGGAATCAAATTTCCTCTGTAGGTAGAGCTCCTCAGAATCTTCAACTTCTGAGAATTCGAGCTCCGAATCATCAGATTTTGCTTCCGACGGCTAAAAAAGTCTCTGTTGCACAGCGTACTGGATCAGTGAACACCCCCTTGAATTGAGCAACTTTTTGCGGCAATCACTTCTTAAATACATATTTTAATCTATGTAATGGAACACAATAAAAACCCTGAAGAGCGCAAGGAAGCGCAAGGGCGGGCGCAAGGTCATTTCTAATAACACACCAGCAACTATGTTTTGATCAACCCCCATATATACATATGCTTTGTATGTATATATATATAGATGTGTGTGTGTTTCAGTTCATATCAGCCGATTCGCCGCGATTCACATTCTCAACCCGGCAAACTAACATAGCTTTTGAAAATTGCCCATGTGGTTCCGTGATTTTCGTAGTAAACGTGGTGATGGTCCATAGCAAACTGTTAGTTTACCAGAGGGTAACTCATTTCATCCTATATAGATAGAGTTAAATTCCAATAACATATCCCAGTGATATTCGCTAAAAATCCATATAAATTCATTTTTTCCTACAACTTTCTCTCTCTCTCTCTCTTATTTCAGGCTTATGTTATGTTAGTGTACCAGAGGCTAATTTCTTCTTAAACACCATTTAAATCCAATATAAATCTGATTTTCGAATCGCATGAAACGTTCATGAAATCACCATTTGTTGGTACCCTTCCACAAGGTGGTGCCCCTTAGATAGCTAAGTTGGTTAATAACTCCAATAACTATTGTTTATAGATGATATATCTACAGTTTTCATGGGATTATAAACCAACATTCACATAACTTGGGGGGCACCAGTGGTTCCAGGTCCTCTTGCGCGCGGTGCGTGAGCTGACGTTGAGCCCCACTGGTCGCGCTTGGGCTGAAGAACTCGTGACCAACGCTGTGGCGTCGCTGCGTCCGGAGATCTCGGCGGAGGAGGCCTTTGGGACCTACCAAGCCTTGATGCAGAACCTGCAGCCGGCGACTTGGCCAATTCTACCAACTCGGTGTGGGATTTAATGGGATTTAATGGGATTGAACTTATATTTGATAGGATTGAATGGAGATATTTGTCATGTGATTTTGTCATGAGTTATATCATGAGATCTTCCAAGTCATGAAATACCATCGGCAATAGGGGTTTGATTGAATGTTACTGGTATTATCCGATTCGGTGGGTTAATGATTAGTTCGGGGAATCCCGTTCTGGACCAAGCAGTATTTTTAGGGACCAAAAAAAGGGCTTGGAACACTGCTCACCAGAGAATTCCCCGCTGTGAGTCTAAAATGGGTTGAAAATCAACCAGAAATGGGATTCATGGGATATTAATGGGTACATATGGTGATGAATGGATATGACAAATATGATAGTTTATGAGATATATTCTACTAATATATATTTAGGTTTGTTTGATGAATTGATACCCCAAGTTATGGGGATGTTCATGGCGATATGGGATATGGTGACGAGCGAATATATTAGCAAATGATGGTTCAATGGGACATTTATGGGAAGACTACAGCTCTCTGACGCACAGAAGAGCTGATTTGAGTGAAGAAGAGCTTCGGTGAGATGAGACAGGTTAAGCAATGCTCAGTTGACATGAAAATGGTTGAGAATAACTTGTAGATGACATATGAGAAGAGATGAGATGAGATGAGATGAGGTGAGGTGAGAAGAGCTCAGATGAGATGAGATGAGATGAAGTGTGGAGTGCGAAGTGTGAAGTGTGAAGAGTGCAGTGTGTGAAGTGTAGAGTTTCAAGTGTGACATTTGGAACAGTGCGCCACGTTCGCACAGAGCAAGCACGCACGGGCCCGGCTGGCGCACGGCGTATGGCGCATGCAAGTTCTATAGATGAAAAACGTCTTACGGTATAACCCTAAGGCAACTTCCGCTCCGCCTCGTGCGGGTACTACTGGTATGATACATGCCAAAATATATTTGAACACATATATACATATACAATCATATACATATATATATAAGGCATATCTAATATCTACATATAGAACCCAATTTTGGCCAGCGCCGCAGGCTCACGTCGCAGCATCTGAGCATCGGCCGCAAAGCGGTGTCTCCGCAAGGCCGGTGGCCGCACCGGTGGCTTCGATGGTCAACAACTACGCCAGAATGCCCAAGGGATCGAGGAGAACGGAAGGGGGAACAGAATACCCAACTGACCGTTGCGTTTTGGGCCGTTTTGGGCCGTTTTGGGGTTGGGGGGGGCAGGGTGTTGGTTGGGGGAGACTAATAAGGTTCAAGTGCAATAACGTTCAAAGACAATATGCATAGCCACTTCTTATTTGATGCGCACGAATTATGTTATGCCAACAGAAGGGTTGCAATTTTTATACATAGGGATGATGCTACGTCAACAGAAGGGTTGCTCTTTCAGAGACATGGCTCATGTTACGTCACCACCAGGGGTGCTATTTTACACACAGGGATGATTTTCATAGATATCACCATGGTGATAATCTACAGTAATCTACACGAGTTGAGATATGATCCTGAAAAATTGCGTATTATTTTTAAATACCTGGAACTGCACCCCCAAATATAGAACTATCAATTGGATATGATCCAGTCAATGGGTTATATATATATATATCATTAATATCGCATGAAAAATTGGTGGTGTTGGATATTTTCGCTATGGAAAATGGCTATGGAAAATGGATGGTTGATTTTATGTTTGGTTGATGATTATTGTCATTACCATTAACAATATATGTGGATATAAGGGGGATAGAAAGGGATATATATATATATGTAAGCACACGATAAGAGTTGGTTCGTGGGATTTCCGCTATGGAAAATGGATGAACATGGGTGGTTTATGGATAAACAAAAACAATCAAAAATGAAGGTAATCGGATATATGACTAGCTTCATCGGGATATTGATGGACATATTTTGTGGGATATGAATAGTGTACATTGATCCATTCTATTGGGATGTAGCCAACAATATGTTTCTGGATGGTAGGCGGTGGTTGACCAGGCATAATCCGTCTCACTGTTGGTTGAACTGCGAATCATGTTTTATCTATGGTTTCAGCACACTTCTTGGACGTTCCTGTGGTTAGAATGAGGATCCCAACTGATTTAGATAGATGGATTGAAACCACCAGCTTTGAGAGGTCAGCCCGTCCCTGTTTCTGCCAGGTGCCCCTGCATCCCAAATGCTCGAGAGTATGTCTTGCTTGGCCTGCAACCATGTTCAAATATGATGTAATTTCTCAGTAGATACCTGCGGAAGACCGTGAGAAATTTACATCAGGTTTAAATCTCACACGGGTTTTCCACGACAGAATCAGAAACCATCCCTACAAATTCACATCTTAAGTAAACTTATTAAGCTTAAACCTCATGTTTTTCAGGTATTTCAGCCCTAACTTTGCGAATTTTCTGGTCTTCCACCATGGATCCCTACCAACTCGTGGGGCGCATCGCCAGGACCGTGGACCCCGCACCGCTCCGGCGCCTCTCCAGTGAGTGGCCACTGGCGGGGCAGTCGCAGAAGACCCCTCCTAGACACGAGGCGGCCGAACACGCTGGAAACGGTGGGGTTAACCAACAACTTGGTGGCGAACTACCCACTTAGTAAGTGGGTTATAACCCCAGTTATAAATGGGATAAGTAGGGTTAATCCACTTATAACTGGGGTTATAAGCCACTTACTAAGTGGGATGAGCCACCAACAAACATCCGGATTTGCCATCTGGCAATTTAACATAGCTATGAAAAATGGTCGATCATTTACCTAGAATTAGGATGATTTTCCATAGCTATGTTAAATTACCAGGTAAAGCAACCAAAAGGGTGGCTGAACCTGGGCTAACAAAAACCAGCAAAAAACGTGGTCTAACCAACCAAAATTGGAGGGTTTCACCAACTTAACTAAGCATAATTAATGGCGACTTAGCTAACTAACATAATTGGGGATTTGACCAACAAAATGGTGACTTTAAAAAAAAACAAAATGGTGGTTTAACCCCAGCTTAAACAACAAAACAGTGGTTTAGCCAACAAACATTGTCATTAAAACCAACCCAAATTTGGGGATTTCCCAGCCAGAATGATGGTATAGTGGGATATACTGGGAGTATCGTGGGGGTATCATGGAGGTAAACGTGGAATTGATGGGTTAGGGCGGTGCTATTAGCCTACCCGGTCTATTGGGGATAGCTGACCTGTGATGAAACCATGTACATAACGGGATACGATTGACATTAATTTGATCAAACTGGTTCTGCAATAAACATGTATGGGGTTTGAACCAGCAAAAATGCAGGGATACGTTGATAAGTTATGTTGTTTTTTTAAGTACCGATACTGGGATACCCCTGCCGATGGAATTATGTCATGGGGGATTTGACCATCGCTTACGTTTTTTTTGACCTTGTAATGAGAATAGACACCGACAATCTGTTTTCTACGGTCTAAAGACTGTTTATGTTCAATCCTGTGGGATTCTCACTCCCTATGAAATATTTTTGGGATATGTTGGCCGGATCAACCAGTTGACGTTAACCCAACCAGCTCCCCTCCTACACCGAGCTGATGGTGCATGACTGGACATGTCTTTGGTCTCCAGCGCAACACTAAAAAGATGAACAAATTGCTTTCTTCGAGTGATCCCCACCCTGCAAGACTATTCTGACATAGCTTCTGACGTACCATCTGGAAGTATATGGTATCTATTCTGACATTCTTTCTGGCATTCTATCTCATATTCTTTCTACAGTTGAGGTCCTGCAGTGCCGGCGCTCGCGGTTGAGGGACTGAGATCTGGAGTTCGCTGTTGGGTGGAGGAAGGAAGGAAAGCAAAGGAAAGGAAAGGAAAGGAAAGGGAAGGAAAGGAAAGGAAAGGAAAGGGAAGGAAGGAAGGAAGGAAATGAAGGAAGGAAGAGGAGGAAGTAACTTTGATAAAACCTAGAGACCCACACCCGGCAGGCAAGGAATACCATACATTACATACCCGAACCTGGTATGGGGGGGAGGCAACACCTAAAATACCATACCTGGGGGGTCATGAACATCCACATGTACCAGCATTGCTCACCACATTGCCATGGATTTAAGTAAATCATTTTCCGGATGGGTTCCCGGGATTCCCTTGGGAAAGCCCCACATCTACTATGTACACGTTGAAAGCCCACGGTATATATCCCATGACGGATCCGGCTGGTGCTGGTATATTAATGCTAACATGACTGGGGTATATTGATGGGATCCATGTTACCCTAAAAAAAGAAGCACCATGGATCCTATGGCTATTATACCATATTATACCCACTTTTGCTGGATCGACTCCCCATCATGATCATCATAACATGCATCCCCCATTTAAGGTGAAGTTGTGAAGTTCCCGTTTTTTCTCGTTTTGCCATAGGATCTCGTGGGGTCCACACGCGCTGCGCAAGAGTCAACTTCGGCCAGTGTCTGAGATTGCAACTAAGACATCCAGTGGCTGTGTGAAACCTGGGAGATCCCCGCTCCCTAGGGGATTTGCTGTTTAGGGAACCCCAGCCTGCCAAGAAACGCCCTAAGTTTTGCCAAGGAGTCACTCACAGCTGGCATTCCAGTTGATTTGAAGTGCTTGTCCTCTTCAGCTTACTGATTATCCCCTGGTTCGTGATCTACCACCCATATACATATCAATCACCTGGAACCCCAAAGTTGTTCTAATTGTTTGTCGCCTTTGCGAAAACTATCGACTTTCGGCTTTTGGGGGCAAAAATTGTCGCCTGAAACAAAAACTATCGACTTTGGTGATCAACCCAATTGATGGTGAAATTTTGAAAATTGCCAACATCCCAAAGTCCCACTGCTTGCGGCGCACTGAGCATCGGGTGAACGCGGATACGCGCGCCGCATACAGAAAATACGGCATTGTTTCGTTTATTTTTCACATTTTTTCAATGTTCAGTTTTGAGTCAAAGCAATAGGCGGCAGCCGATTAGTGGCTGAAAAGCAACTCGCGACTCTGAAATGGCGCACAACACCCAGCATTATGGAATTGTATAGGGTATGTGCGGGAACAGCGAAAATCGACTTTTTGGGCTAAACAAGTAAAAACCATCGACTTTCGTTGGATGACACTTTTTTAGAGCGCCTTGGGCTTCCCGGTATACATCATACATAGACATAGACATAGAGATCATATGTATATACAACGGTAAACTGCATGTGTATACTATATAATACTATATATTACTCTATATATTACTTTATATATTATATATACTGTAATACATTATAATACACATGACACACATATATATATATGTAGCTAATTGTAGCTACCTAGAATACCCTTTGACTCATCTTCAACACCTGTCGTTGACCCTTCGGAACCCCGTTCCGCCAGGTCTTCGCGCCGCCGTCATGCGCTCGCAGGGGACCTACGAAGACCTCCTCTCCCAGGCGGACGCCCATCGCGACGCGCTCAGCGGCACCGCTGTGCGGCGGCTTCGGAGCCGGGCCATGGACCCGGCGCAGAAGGTGCCGATGGGAAACCGGGAAAATGGATGAAAATGGGTCAATGGAGATGGGAATAGTTGTAATAGAATAGAAGTTATTTAGATAGGTAGATGTATGGAGATTATTTCATGTGATGTGATGTAATGCAGTGATATGGTATTGCATGATTTGAGCAATTGACAATGGCCTAAAGCGATCTTACGACGTGTGGCGGTTACATGATGCCCAGGTCACTGTAAGTTGCACCGAATTCCACAGCCCCAAATCCTTTTGGATCGACCCAAAACCCGCAACTCATGGCAAGTATCCCATTCTTTCCCAGTCTATCTGTCTATCTTGGCTTATTATTATTGGTTAAGTTATAAATGATATCCCATTACATCATTATTGTTGGTTATGTCATGTTATATCCCATTCTCTAACCATGATGGCTGGCCCATTCTGAAGAAATACCCCATGTTTCTGTCATTATGAACCAATGATCTTGACTTATCTTGACCCACGTTTTTCATAATTGCCGGTTGGCCACTTGATTTGTGCCCACGTTGCGGCCAAAAATCCTCAGGTTGATATGGAGATGGCAAAGCTGCACGACCAGGTGTGGGTCAGTTCATCAAGAAAACATCGACCAGTTTTGTTTGGGTGAAAAAAACTCTAACACATCCACCTACATTTAGGTCGCATAAATTTATATTGGTATGTATGTGTATGAGTATATATACATATATATATAAACATGTCACCTCATCCATCCTTGCATCCTTCCTGCCTTCCTTCCTTGCATGCATGCATCTTATTTTCTCCACAACCTTCGGCATATGTTCATATCACCACCATCTAACATCTACATTTTTTTAATGCGCCAAGCATCCTCCCATCCATCCATGCCCTAAAAAAACATTTATGTCGCACAACCTCTCCCCCATCTACCACCCGTCCCATCTGCAGGGTTTTCAGTCATACTCATCCATGATTCACTACCATTTCAATTTCATGACTTTGTCTACATTTACACATTTTTTTTTTATCTCACTTTAAGAACATATTATATATATATATATACATACAGACATAGCAATACATCAATATACGCATACAACACTCACATATACATATATATATATATACGAATGTGTATATATATTTAATATATATATATATATATATGTATATGTTGAAAGTGTAAAACAGTACAAATACTACAGTACATTTTATATACTATTTTATTCATACAGCAATCTATACTTACAACAAGATAGATTACTTAATTATATATATACATATATATATACACTTATATATTTGCTACACTTTATTTATCCCATTTTAATCATACATTACATAGAACACACTACATATATATCACATATATATATATACATACATACATACATATATATATATATACATAAATATATATAATATATGTATACATATATATATATCATGTATCCCCTATCCCCAAGTTGCCCCATCCCAGGCCCAGCTGATCCAACAGCAGTCCTTGGAGCTCACGACGTTACGCGACGGCCTGGAACTGCAGATGCAGCGCCACGCAGCCGCCTCCACGCGCCTGGCGGAGGCGGAGGAGAAGTTGGAGGAAGCGCAGTGCATTGGATGCAGATAGTCTACGTCTGTAATGACGGTTAGTGATGGTTAATGTTGGTTAATAATGGTTTATGATGGTTTACAATGGTTTCTGATGGTTAGTGATGGTTAATGTTGGTTAATGATGGTTTATGATGGTTTCTGATGGTTAATGATTGTTGATGTTGGTTAACAATGGTGTACGATGGTTTACAATGAATTCTGATGGTTAGTGATGGTTAATGTTGGTTAATAATGGTTTTTGATGATTTCGAATGGTTTCTGATGGTTAGGGATGGTTAATTTTTGTTGATAATGGTTTATGATGGTTTCTGATGGTTAATGATGGTTAATGTTGGTTAATAATGGTTTGTGATGGTTTATGATGGTTTACAATGGTTTCTGATGATTAGTGATGGTTAATGTTGGTCAGTAATGGTTTTTGATGGTTTCTGATGGTTAATGATGGTTAATGTTGGTTAATAATGGTTTGTGATGGTTTATGATGGTTTACAATGGTTTCTGATGGTTAGTGATGGTTAATGTTGGTCAGTAATGGTTCATGATGGTTTCTGATGGTTAATGATGGTTAATGTTTATTATTAATGGTTTATGATGGTTTGTAATGGTTTCTGATGGTTGATGTTGGTTAAAAATGGTTTATCATGGTTTATGATGGTTTATAACAGTTTATTGATGGTTAATGTTGGTTAATAATGGTTTATGATGGCTTCTGATGGTTAATGATTGTTGCTGTTGGTTAATAATGGTGTACGATGGTTTACAATTAATTCTGATGGTTAATGATGGTTAATGATGGTTAATGTTGGTTAATAATGGTTTATGGTTAGTGATGGTTGATGATGGTTAATGTTGGTTAATAATGGTTTATGATGGTTTATAACGGTTTTTTGATGGTTAGTGATGGTTAATGTTGGTCAGTAATGGTTTATGATGGTTTACAATTGCTTCTGATGGTTAGTGATGGTTTCTGATGGTTAATAATGGTTTATGATGGTTTTCAATGGTTTCCGATGGTTAATGATGCTTAATGATGGTTTATGATGTTTTTTAACGGTTTCTGATGGTTAATGTTGGTTTAAAATGGTTTATGATGGTTTACAATGGTTTATGATGGTTTACGGTTCGGATCGTTAATGATTGTTGATGTTGGTTAATAATGGTTTTTGATGGTTTATAACGGTTTCTGATGGTTAATGCTGGTTAATGTTGGTGAATAATGGTTTTTGATGATTTATAGTGCTTTCTGATGGTTAATGATGGTTAATGTTGGTCAACAATGGTTTATGGTATGATGGTTTATGATGGTTTATAACAGTTTCTGATGGATAATGAATGTTAATGTTGGTTAGTAATGGTTTCTGATGGTTAATGATGTTTAATGTTGGTTAATAATGGTATGGTGGTTCATGATGGTTTATAACGGCTCCTGATGGTTAGTGATGGTTAATGTTGGTTAATAATGGTGTATAATGGTTTCTGATGGCTAATGGTGGTTAATGATGTTTAATGATGGTTAATGATGGTTAATGTTGGCTAATAATGGTTTTTGATGGTTTACAATTGTGTCTGATGGATAATGATGGTGAATGTTGGTTAATAATGGTTTCTGATGGTTAATGGTGGTTAACGTCGGTTAATAATGGTTTATCATGGTTTATAATGGCTTCTGGTGGTTAAAGATGGTTAGTCTTGGTTAATAATGGTTTATGATGGTTTATACTGGTTTCGGATGGTTAATGATGCTTAATGTTGGTTAAATATGGTAAATGCTGGTTTTTAATGGTTTCTGATGGTTAATTATGGTGGAGAATGGTTTATGATTGTTTATAATGTCAACCCTGGATTAATAAACCCCTAGGCTGTTTCATTGGGAAGGTACCATTTAAGTATCAAAACATGACATTGGGGGAATACCACCCTAATTAATAAACCATGGTTTATTAATCCAGGGTTGACATTGGTGGTTTCTGATGATTTATGATGCTTAATGTTGGTTAATAAATGATTCTAATGATGGTTAATGTTGATAAAATAACAATAAACCAACCCGGATTTCACCATCAAGTGGTGGTATGGTTACCATTCCCAAATAGGTGGTTTATGACATTGTTTCTCCCATATTATTGAAAATAGCCATTTGTGGTTGATTTACCAATCAAATGGTGGTTATCCATTGTTTTTAAACAGGATGTCAACTATAATGGGGTAATAATAAATGTTACTGGGATAGTAATAGATATTAAAGGGATTTCCATGGGATTTAATCAGATGTAATTGGACTTAGTGGAAGTTTAATGGGGTTGAATCATATTTAATCGTATGTCAGTGGGATGCTAATGGGATTTTACATTTTCTTCATGGGAGAATAGGATTTAACCAACTATAGTCTATGTGTGTGGGAGGTGAATGGGATATATAAATAGGGTATTCATGGGAAATTGGTGGATTGAACTATATTTAACGTGTTTTGAGGCGGATTTAACCAACTATAATGGTGTTTAATCAGATTTCATGGGATGTGAATGGTAAAAATCATGGAATTTCATTGGATTCAATTAGATTTGTTGGGATATTAACGCGTATTAGTAGATGTGAATGGATTATTAATAGGATTTTGTTTGCCTTTAGTCAGGTTTGTTGGGATATTGATGGGTACTAATGGATGTTATAGGATTTAATCAGACGTAATGGGGGTTGATAGGAATAAACTTTTTCGGTGCAACGATGATGATGATGATGATTGTAAGAGACCATGATGATGATGACAGGAATAAAATTGTTCGAGGCCATGGTGGTGATGATGATGATCATCATCATCATGATGATGATAATGATGAGATCATGATGGTGATATCATAATGATGATGACGATGATGATGATTGTAAGTGTGGAGCAACAACCGGGTTGGACGGAAATTGTCTAAACGGATTTAATGGGATATCAATGGGATGCCGGTGGGTCTACGGCAATGGATATACAGTGGAAACTAGTGTGTATGATTTTGGTATTTTGGCATTAGCAGGAGTTAATAGGGTTTAAAAGGATTTAATGACATATGTGTTTTTTTTTACCATGTCTCAGATTACTGTAACTTGGATCTGAGAGTGATGGATGTTCATTCAGATATTGCATTCACAACCAGGTGATATGTACTGGGCATATAATAGAAACAAATCGGGCATTAATGGGATGTCATGTATATGTGTGTGATAGCTGGATTTATATCATGTTGTATTGATTTTGCGGGGATATAATGGTGTTATCATGGGGATAGAGGGGGGATAGAATGCGATATTCATAGGGTATTGCATATTATATATATACATATGTGGTTGGTGGTAAAGTATGACAAAGTATGTGGTTGATTGGTATAACTGGTGAAGTATTGGTGCAATCATTGCCGATGCAACAATAGTTCATCCCATTTAGTAAGGCGCCAAGTTTGGGATGATCCAAATTTTACGAGCATAGTTTTCGATCTTGACCCTACCAGAATGGGTAACCAGAATGGACATTGACAGATGTGAATGGGATGTGTATAGATTTATGTTCGTGTTTGGTGGTGAACTGCCAAGTAAAGGTTGTTTGATGTTGAGTGCTATTCATTGGAAATGCAGGTGAAGTACTGGGATCTAGATATCACTGGTGGTCCTTACATGTTACCAAAACCAGCAAGGTGGTTAGCTAGTGGGTTGCAACCCATTGCAACTGATATTAATATATGTATATATGTCTGGTTGGTGGTTTGGAACATGATTTTTATGCTTTTCCATATATTGGGAATGTCATCATCCCAACTGACTGATATTTTTCAGACGGGTTGAAACCACCAACCAGAATATATATATATATTTATGTACATATGTATGTACATATTGAGCAGTTGGCTTTGGCAGCTGGTTGATGGCTTTGCTGACATCCCACTTACCCAATATGGTAGATGGTGACATACCGCTATGTTGTTTGTGGTGGTTGGCAACAAAACGTATGTTCGCCACAGATCAGTTGACAATTATTGGAAACCTTGAGAGCAAGAATACGATACAGTGAAAAATCATAAGACGGTTTTGCCAAGCAAAAGATGCAATGGTTGACCCCAAAGTGAAGGGTATATCAACAAATTACATTGCGGGAATTGTTGCCACTATAACCAGCAGCAATGGGGTTTACAGTAAATGAACATCACTTTTCTTCGAGTGATTCCCACCTTGGAACACTATTCTGACATAGTTTCGAAATTTCTGACATACCATCTGGAAGTGTATATATCAATATATGGCATATTCATGTTGCCATTCCATCTGACATTCTTTCTTGCATATACATTGACATTCTATCTGACATTCGATCTGGCATCTATATATTGAAATGTTTTCTGGCATATATTCTGACATTCTTTCCAGCATACTCTCTGGCATCTTTCTGACATTCTCTCTGACTTTTTTTCTGGCATCCTATCTGGCATCTATTTTGACATCCTTTCTTTCTGGCATTCTATCTGACATTCCCTTTGGCGTCTGGCTGAGGTCCGGCTGTGCTCGCTGAGATCTGGAGCTCGCAGGACGAGGGGCAGGAGGAAGAGGAGGAGGAAACAACTCTGATAAAATCTCGAGACCTTCACCTGGCAGGTGGGGAACCACATATTTGATGGGTATACCAGCCAACAGCAAAGGACCTGTGATTTGGCATGTTTTAAAGTGAGTGTTCATCCAATTACGGCAGTGCTTTAACCAGTGTTTGGTAATCTGGCATCGCTATGAGTGTTTGCTCATTATCCTGATTTATAGATGATTTTCCCATGATATAGTCATTTTTTATACCCATTCTATACCCATGATTTGCCACTATACGCTGTACCCATTATTTTCCGATGATTTTCGGCATGATATACCCATCAGGTTCCCATAACCCTCAGCTCCCCAGTGCTTCCGGGTCCAGGCAAGAGAATGCCGAGCTGCAGCGGCAGCACAAGACCGAAGAGCTCCGGGCCACCATGTGACCTGGCAGCAGTGGCCACCGGGGAGTGAATGGTCGTGGGTTTTTTTGTTTTTTATTTTAAGCAGTTAGAGTAGTTAGGGTGAATATTAAAGCGATATATTATATATAGATATAGAAACATTACCAACAAAAATAACAAAATCAGAATACAGGGGTTAACAGATTTGGTGAATGGTACTGGAAGGTCTGGTAGGTAATTTGTTCTTCAAAGCTGCAAATGGGGGCTTACACTCAGAAATCCCAGGTAAGCCATGATGAATTGATTTGAGACGCATTAGCTTGGTGGTGGCTGGTTTTTGAGAAATAGTTGTTTGTGTTCATGTCCATAGATTTCTTTGAATTAGGGATTTGTGTTGTCAAAACCTTGGTTGGTTATATATATATATAGAGAGATATATATATATCAAATGCCCATATTTGTTGCAGTGTATATAGGTTTGTCTGAAAATAGGGTACCCTCAATTCTGACGGATTACAAGTTTTTTTCATTATTTTCGTTTTTGGGGCATACCTCATTTTTGTACGTAAATGTTTTTCCATCACCAACCAACTATAACATTGAAACCCTATTGTGTTGATGTTTTTCCATGTTTCCACTGTATCAGAAATTATTTATCCATCAATCACCACATATATATGTATTGTATATATATATATATGTATATTCTAGATTATGTATACGTATCCCATCGATATCCGCACTGAGTTGGACGCATCCCGACGCTGAGGCTCCGAGAAGCTTTCGAACAGGAGCAGAATCGGGTTGGTGTCTCCCTTGGCCAGGCGGGTGAGCTTTCACCCTGTGGAAAAATCATGGGGAACCCCCCCGGAAAATATTGAACTCTTAGTTCGGAGGGTAAATAGTGTTTTTAATAGTCATGATTGGATATTGTTTTAATTAAATTAGATATCTCTGAATATTTTCTATTACTGTATTGTTTAATTGGTAGTAAAATTATAAGTAGTAGTGTGTTGAAATTTGTAGCCCATACTTCTCTGAAATTCACGGAATTCTGAGACCATCAGCTATTGCCATGCAGCCCTCCCCCCCTCAATTACGGCTGTTCCGTAGCGCGCCGATAGCGCGTCGAAGACATGGGGAAAATGCAAATGGTGCTACCTTCACATTCATGATAAACCGTCAGAATCATCACTGAGTGGTTTTATTCTGTGAATCATGGTGTGGGATACCACCATTTGACGACCTAGAAATGGCTAAACATGTTTTTGCCTCAAAGCACTGGATGATTCAATGACTGTTTGATACGAAGTAAAAACAACTTACAGGGACTGCTTTTGTGTTAGTATGGTTCTTTGGTAGCTGGTAGACCAACAGACAAATTCCACCATTGAACATGTTTGAGGATCGAGGCTGTTTGTGACCCAAAAACCCTCAAATGGTAATTGGGTGCGTTTTAGCGCAATTTTGAACCGCCAAAACTATTCAACAACATGTGTCATTGTTTGATTCGAACTTGATCCACCACGGTTCAACTATGTTGATTCACCGATCTTTGTTAAGTCGGTATCTCAAATAGTCCCAGTTTGATTTTCCCAGCTAACTACAATTTCCGTTGAGGGATTTCCAGCCACGGAGGCCGAAACCTACGTCAATCATTTGGTCGCGGCTACCGAAGGGACACGTAGGGTGGAAATGACCGAACAAGCTGTGGCCAGGGAGTCTGGGTGCGAAGTGGATGTCAGGCGAAATGCTGCGACATGTCCAGTATAGATATATCTGATATTGATATATATATATATATTACATATATATATATATATATATATATCACATATATATATTTTTCATATATATATAAGTATATATGATTATATGATATAAATGAATATATTTACTTGTAAATGTATATGAATCTATTTACACAGATACACATATATTTGATGTATGTTCAATGATTCTAAAGATTCTGGTTTCAACATATTTACAACAAAGAGAGTTCAATTCGATTGGACGGGGTTTTCGCGGGTGTCAATGTTTAAATTGATGATTTTGGGATGATTCAAAACTGTATCCTGTTTCATAGCTTCCATGGTGCTGGGATGTTTACCCACCTGATATGAATGATGAATGGATGATTTACTTTTTGGTGTATATAAACGGAGGTTTATTCCCCAAATGGGGATACCACCCAAATCATCCACAATCACAGTAAGACCATTTTGGTATTGAAAAGCTATGGGTTTGGGGATCCTGCAGATTCTCCATTTTAAGATCCCACCAAATCTAGTCAATATACCTGGTGTAACTCGTCCAGCGATGAGAAGAGCTTATTGGAATGACCTGATGTTTACTAGCCCTCTATGTAGCTTGATGACAAGCTTCGCTGGTGAAAGGACTCCGGACTCCGCCCATTGTAGTCAAGTCATTGGGTTATCCAAATGGATGGTGACCGACATTGACAGGTCCACAGACTTTTCCATCATCTCAGGGAAGATTCAAAAATGGCTTCCGGATCAAGGAATTCTTGGTAATGCTGACATTACTCCACACAATAGATGATATAGATGTCTTTTTCCCATGGGTAGCTGTGATGGCGTTGAAATTTCACCCCATGACCAGTCCAAAACGTGGCCCGAGGAATGCGTGCAGGCGTTGAATGAGATCCACGCTGCACAGAGCCGAGAAGATCTCAGTGCAGAAGCGAAACTGAACCAATTGGTCCGTGAACTCGACCCTTTGGATTTGAGTCGAGTTTGTTGTGCTCCTGATTATTTGGATGAGTTTTAATTCCGGGAATAGCAGCAATAACATATCCCTTGTGGATTGAAACAGCTCGATAGCTCGATTTGGGGATTTTGGGCTCCTGGGGATGGATGGATCATTTGCTGAACCGCAGCCGAAGTGGTGATTTTACTGAGCAAGATGTGAATCTGGCCAACAAGAAATCAGTTTTTTTAATCAAGAAATGCAGATGAACACATCTGAACCTGAGCAGAGCACTTCCAGAGCTAGCACCTGCTTTGTTTGATTTCGTTGGTAATGTTGCTGTATTTCCACGTCCCTGTCCGTGAAGCTTTGGAATGATGATCTCCAACCGACAGGTTTGACAATGTGGTTCATTGGGGTTCTGGTTTCAGAATCTCTAGATATTCTGGTTGGTGGTTTGGAACATGTTTTATTTTTCATAATATGTGGGATAATCCTTCCCATTGACTAATATTTTTCAAGATGGTTAAAACCACTGACCAGTATTGGTTGTATTGCATGCCCATTTCCTTCGGTATCCACGTCTCCATCTCAAGTGCCTAAGTGGACACCATTTCCTGTTCAGTACAATTATGGACTTATGGACCCTGCTCCTCCTTATTAATAGTTCCTCGCAATCCGAACTAGATGGATACGTATATAATATATGATAATATATGTATACATGATATGAATGTAGCTCATGGTTGAAGCTGTTGAAACCCAATGCATCTAATGTTTGATGATTGCATTCTGTATATGGCCAGATGAGATTCCGATGAGTTCCCCTAACTGATTCAAAACTGGGATGTCCAAAATCTGAAATTCCTGAAAATTTTGTTGGAACAGAAACCATCATTTGGTTTCTAGATATGGTTTCTAGATATGGAATATTTTTACCATTTGCAGATCATGTCTTACAGAAAGTCAAAAAAAAATCCATTGCTATGTCAGTGTACTTGAGGATAAATCAAAGACTTTCCATTGGTGGCGCAGCCCCGAGGAATTGGCCAAGACAGACTATGACTTGGCGACCAGGTCTGTTCCGGCCACCAGTCCCAAGGCCGACCCAGCGAAGTTTCGTGGCTGCAGCTGGTTGCACCCATGACATGCTCGTGACTACTGGCTTCCCCACAGGATGGGGTCACCAAGACAGCTAAGTTGAGATATACTGAAAGTGGATCAACTATGGTTTATAGTAGATAGAACTATAGTTAATGGGGTTTTTAAACCAACTTATAACTGGGGGGCACCATCCTGCAGGTTTTTGGTGGATTTTGGTGCTTCCAATTCCGAAGTATTGGATGCCAACTTATTTGTTTTATTATCCTTCTCATTGGTTGTAGACATTGTAGGTCTTTGTTTTTCTGTACAAGCCATCCCATCTTATTGCTGAAACCGACTGAAACCCATTCTGTTCACCAACATCCACATTCTTCGTGGGTTACTGTAAATCCCTTTTGTTGCTGGCAAATCCATGTCCATCTACTACGACCCCACTTGATTGATGCTCACTCTTAGACCCAGGTGATGTTGTTGTGGTTTGTGGTTGTTGGTTGTTGGTGGTTGGTTGTTGTTGTTGTTGTTGTTGTTGTTGTTGTTGTTGTTGGTTGTTGGTTGTTGGTTGTTGGTTGTTGGTTGTTGGTTGTTGGTTGTTGGTGGTTGGTTGTTGTTGTTGTTGTGGTTGTGGTTGTGGTTGTGGTGGTTGTGGTTGTGGTTGTTGTGGTTGTGGTTGTGGTTGTTGTGGTTGTGGTTGTGGTTGTTGTGGTTGTGGTTGTGGTTGTTGTTGTTGTTGTTGTTGTTGTTTTTTTTTGTTGTTGTTGTTGCTGTTGTTGTTGTTGCTGTTGTTGTTGTTGTTGCTGTTGTTGTTCAGACCAGTCACTATTTTGGGTTCCTTCCCACTTATTGATGGCTTTTTGCTGGTTGCTTCCATCACCACCTATCACCATCCCATCTTCATCGATTATATAATTTTGAAATCCTCACCCATCCTATCTTTTTATGCCTTCAACCCCCGATTCTATGCCTCAACAGCCGCTATTTTGTCCCAGCAAAAATCGTATAAAATCGCTTTGATTGGAAAGATATAGTTTCACCATGAATATGGGTTGAGTTAAGACAACTATTTGCCAGGATTTGTCCCGAAGAGAATGATTTGAAATAAATGGGTGAGAAAACCAATGGCATTGGTTTTACCCAATATATTTAGTTATAGTATCTCCCAAAAAATAAGATGCAAATGGTTTAAAATCATACTAACGTAGTGAAACATATTGGGTAAATTGTTTTTTCTATCTTGTTTAGGCTGCTATATGGAGGTCTCTTGAAATATGGGATCCCCAAGTCACGGTCTCAATGCTAAGTCATCCATGAGATGATTTGGGGGGTACCATGACTTAGGAAACCTCCATATGTTTCACATTATAGCCATGGAACTTGAGTTATTCACCATGGAACTTGACCACCATTAAGTTATCAACCATTATTCACCATCATTATTAGGTTATTGAACATTATTAACCATTGTTTACTTACCAAACATGATTAACCATTATTCACCATTAATACGGTTAGTTATTAACCATTGTTAACCATTATTCACCATTATTCACCATTATTCACCATTAATGTGGTTATTTATTTACCATATTTAAACCAGTGTTCACCATTAACATGGTTAGTTATTAACTATTGTTAACCATTATTCACCATTATTCACCATGGATATGGTTAGTTATTAACCGTTATTCATCATTATTCACCATGAATATGGTTAGTTATTAACAATTATTCACCATGAATATGGTTAGTTATTAACCATTATTCACCATTATTCACCATTAATATGGTTGGTTATTAACCATTATTAGCCATTTTTAACAATTATTTACCATTAATATGGTTAGTTATTCACAATTTTTAACCATTATTTACCAATAATATGGTTAGTTATTCACCATTTTTAACCATTATTTACCAATAATATGGTTAGTTATTCACCATTTTAAACCATTATTTACCATTAATATGGCTGCTTATTCAACTTTTTCCAACCATTATCCACCATTAATCTGGTTGGTTAAAAACCATTGTGAACCATTATTCACCATTATCCACCATTAATCTGCTTGGTTATTATCCATTGGTGAACCGTTGTGAACCCTCCTGGCTGCTCAGGCAAACGGAGCTCTCGGAGCTGCGTCGCGGCACGCTGGAGGCCATGGCGCTCTTTCGCAGGCGCCTGGCGGATGCGCAGGTCTACCGCAGGACGGGACGACGGTGGAAACACCGGTGGTTTCCGGTTGGGGACGGTGACGGTTGGGGGTGGATGGGTGAGATGAAGGGAATATGAAGCCAACTGATCAATGAAAGTCGTGGTGAATGGTCAATGAATGGAACATTATCCATTGATCATGGTTATGAAAGTGGGATATAAGTGATCTATGGATAATGGAAAAATGATGGAATAATAATCGCTGGATAAGAATGGATAATAATGGAATATGACCTATGGAATAATCAAAGGAAGTTGGGAAGCAATTTCCGAGTTACGAATGACTTTTTACTTGGTGCAATTGACTATGATGAAGGGTGGTAGATCCTGTAACAATACATAATGTACCAATACATCACAAACCAATAAGAAGCAATGAAATTGACCTTGAGGAAGGGTGGTAGATCATATAACAATACATAATATAACAATACACAATGTACCAATACATAACAAAAGAATAAGAAGCTATGAAATTGACCTTGAGGAAGTGATGATGAAGGGGTGGTGACGAAGGGAAGTGGTGAGGAAGGGAAGTGGTGAAGAAGGGAAGTGGTGACGAAGGGAAGCGGTGAAGAAGGGAAGTGATGATGAAGGGGAGTGGTGACGAAGGGAAGTGGTGACGAAGGGAAGTGGTGATGAAGGGGAGTGGTGACGAAGGGAAGTGGTGAAGAAGGGAAGTGGTGACGAAGGGAAGTGGTGACGAAGGGAAGTGGTGACGAAGGGAAGTGGTGACGAAGGGAAGTGGTGACGAAGGGAGGTGATGATGAAGGGGAATGGTGAGGAAGGGAGGTGGGGACGATGGGAAGTGGTGAGGAAGGGAAGTAGTGAGGAAGGGAAGTGGACGAAGGGAGGTGGTGACGATGGGAAGTGGTGACGATGGGAAGCGGTGAGGAAGGGAAGTGGT